TACCAATTGTCTTTTATAATATACTGACAAGTGTGTATTTGTGTTTCGTCTGTCATGTCTCGCTATGTATTATCTTATGTTTGTAATTAAATTGTCCTCTTGTACACCTGTATGTGTCTGAGGTTATGAATAAAATCTTGAATCTTGAATATTGATACTCAACCAGCTGTACTCTACTGTTAGAGGAGAGACGACAGCCTAGATGTCGTGTGCAAAAATAATAATCACTTGGTACGATTTCAGCTTGCGTTTTGCAATTTTGAATAGTCTAGATGGATTTGTATGTGTTTGAAATCAAATATACTCTACTGCATTCCTGGAAAATATAGCAATTTTTCACATAGAAAACCTGTATTGACGATCGAAAATCACATTGATATAAAAAAAAATAATGTATTTGTTACTTCGTTTTGGTAAATTGTATCTTTGAAGATCATATTCCGTAATGACCGGAATTTAATTCGATGTCTATAAAAATACAAGGCAACACTTTTGGTTAATATTTCGTTAGATCGCCAGTAGACATTATTGAAATTTATAACAATTAATGAATATTGTTCATACAACCTAACACACAAACGGCCTCACTATGTCTGCATCCGTTGCTGCATACTTACGACGCTATAAACGACGATTTTCAAGTAAAATGATCAAATGTATATGTCAAATACGCGAGAGAATACGTAACCCTAGGACATAAAAACATCTTGTTTATGTATTTTGATTAAATTCAAGATAAAATATAACCCCGAACAAGCTTGCTTGTAATAAAAAAGCTTATTTAAAAATGTGTGTTATTTGTGTATTGGTCGACTTCGTTCTCTAGTTCTCGTTTGTGTTTTTTTTTGTACAGATGAATGAAGAATTAGTATAATATATCTGATTTTGTAACAAAAACAGTTTGGTCCCAAATAAAAGCTTATAACCAATCAAGCGAGTTCTAGTAATCTCCATGCCGTATGAAATAAGCGCTACCCTTGGGGGGAAAGCAGATTAATTTGGGGATAAGTATGACAAGTATGTGTATTCCAGACAAATAATGATAATTACTTGTATAATCATTACGTCTGTTTATAACTATAATTCACCTATTGTATTTATTGACACGTGCGTTGTGAGGTTAATTCAAATCATCAAATAAATAGATAAAGTTTGACGAATACATGACAAATAATTGTACACAAAGTATTTTTTGGTAAGATTAATATTTAGGCTCTTTCTGTCAGTAAATCAGTCAGGGTAAACAAAAGACAGATAATACAAAACTGCCTGTATGACATTTATGAGTAATGACACGGGCTCCGGTTGTAAAAACTGTGTGATAGTGGTTCGTAACATAAGTCCACGTTGGTAGTCAGGGACTGTTTTACACCGGGAACGATGAAATCGATGACATCAAAAACCTGAGATTTTAAACTTGAACTTGGAACAAATATATGAATTAGCCCTGCAATTAGCCAATTATTGTACAACTAAATAGTTTTGACTTTTTTTTTTACCTATAATGGTTTACTTTTACAAATTGTGACTTGGATGGAGAGTTGTCTTATTTGCACTCATACCACATCTTCTTATATCTATCTATACTGTTACTTCGCTTCCATATTGAATATTGTGTGTGTGTGTGTGTGTGTGTGTGTGTTTGTTTCAAATGATTCGATGGCATACTTATCAGCCTTTGGTAGTTGTTAGTGTATAATGCTAGTTATAATCTTCCAAATTTCTTTCTTTATATTTTATGCATCAACTAAAAAGAAGTACATGTTTGAAAATTTAGGTGATGAATTTTAAGATAAAGTAGTGATTTAGTCCAAATAAAAAGGGTAAAACACTTGTATGACTGAAGCTTTCAAACTAAACTGTAGACCCCAACCCGCAACATAGAATGGTTCACATTTTGAGTTCGAGCTGTTATACTGCTCTATAATTTGTCTGAAAAGTAGTACACTGCACTGTGAGCATTTTTTTTAAGATAGAGCACGTGCTATTTTATTATTTAAAAGAAATGCAATACGAAATAACTCAGATCAGTTCATTTTGTACTCGCTACACAAAAGGAGAAAAGATTGGTGCACCTCTCTTTTTGTCCAGTTACCGAAGTTCGTTAAATAAAAATTATATTTTCCGACAATTTACATATATCACCAGTGTATATGTTATTCCAACACTTATATTTTTCTTATTCTTTTAATTGTGTGGCTCTTAAATGACCATCTTTATATAAAGCCTGGATTTGCATCCTTCATTCTTAAGTACGTTGAATTTCTACATAGATCACACTAAATAAAAGTTGTGTGTTAAACGTCAATGACAAAGCAACCAATCCACAAAAAAAAAGACATCTAGAGGACACATATAGATCTTTCGTCTGGCAGCACGTATACACTACAGTTACCGTATATTATATAAAAGTACAAAATAAATCGAAATATAAAAACCAAATCAACATTAAAAAATTTTAAAAACAAAACCGAGAAAAGAACTGATAGGTCCGGGGGATCCATGCGTCTAACTCCCGTTATGTTTCGATTTACTAGTATTCAAAATTCATGTTAATTACATTTAAGTTACTTATAAATATTATGCTGCGTGAAAACTACACTGGTGGGTTCCATGTCATAGTATAATGACAATACCTTACTTTCATTTAAAAAATGAAATCATCCCGTAAACCCACAATACACAACTTATAGTATATATATATAAATACTTATGAAATACAAAATGTATATATAGTGATACAATTTTGCTAAGTAAATAGAATACAAATACACACCACTTTACATAACTGACACAATCTAAAGGAATACTCGCAAAACTATATAAGTAGAGAAGCGAAAAGTTTCTGTTGACTACTAAACAAACTTCCGAACCGTACATGTTTTTTTAATAGTTTGCCATGCAGCGCTCAAATATTTTTCATTATCTTTTGGTATAGTGTTTAGAAAGAAGCCACTATATATAATATTGTAAGAATCTTAAACTACACATACTAAGCTATAATAGATTCAGATTCATTATTTTATTGAATATACAACATAGCATATATTAAAAATGACGATCAAACATCAACAGCTTATAAATACTAATACGTATACATAAATTCATTAATTCTTTATTAACCTTTAGCCTTACGGCACCTTTGAGTGTAATTGCAAAATAGTCATGTACTTTCATACGTTATGGATCATTGATTTTGTTACCTGTTGACCCGGTTGATTACTAGCACGTGCCATTAAACTCAATCATTATAACTAAAACGGAAAATTTCAAATTTATGCCATAACTACTATATATACATGGGTAGGAAAATAATTATTAGGATACATTTTTTTTAATCAAAATCTGTATACGGTGGTAATTTATATATAGTTTTAACACTGTCTCGACACAGACTGAATGCAGTATCAGCAGCTTCATGTACTATGGCGACCTTGGTGGTGTTTAGACGCACCACTGTGTAAAGTAAATTATTGTTTAATAATATATTGTACTACAAAGATATGGTAATAGAAGCTTTTCAAAGTTTAATATAGTAACTCGCACGGAAATAAAAAAAAAAAAAAAATCAGCAACAACGGTAATAGTAAACTAGCACATATCAACAGAAAACGAATTAAAGCATCTGACATAAAAATAATACGCAAGCGTTAATTTGCCTCCGCTTCATTTCAGTGGATTATCTCATTGGCAATTATACCACATCTCCTTGTTTTTTTAGGTTACGTTTAAGATTTGCCGTTACTGATTTTCAAATACGAAAAACATTTTCACACCGGGTTCACAACATTTTAAGGTTAAATGTATAGCAAACATTTTTGTGAGTATACAAATAACATACGTCCTTGCATTTAAGAAGTATATAAATAAATAAACTAAACTAACATTTATTAAAAAAATAAGCAACATATATAGACGAATAAGTTATTACTTTAGTTTTTTCAACAAAACAACAACAGAAATAAAGAATCAACAGACAATTTAATCTTTAATTATTTTTTTATTTATTCGAGAGATACATTTTAAATTCTAATACATATATATCTTAATCTAAAATGCATTATCAAGCAGAAGGGGCGTAACTCGTAGTATCATACCGACATACTGAACGGATCTTAACATGGTCTGACAATTTTGAACGTTAATTTTGAGATTTGGTCTGATTTCGACTGAATCAGTCGTAACGGGTCTTAACAGCTCGCTAGAAGATTCAATCTTGTTTATCTTGACATGTCTTAACGGACTGATTTACCTGATGCGACTATCGATCGGAACGGCGTCTGAAAAATTCTTAAAAGTCTTGACGTTTTTCTCTAGCGGTAAATCCAGTCGATTAAGATATGATCAGACCAAAATGACCGTTTCAGACTGAAATCGTGCTACTAGTGATAGTTGAAACTTTCATATTATTCGGTTCTGCTTTTAGAGGTAGCTAAAAGTTTATAGTTGTTACAGATGTCATTTTTCGAAAATGGAGTCAAATAGAATGTTGGTTAATTTTGTGATTTCCTTTTGCAGAACCTCAATGTAAAATTACGTCAAACAATAATGATATTATTGTCAGCCTTATCAGCCGGGACAAACATAAATTGCTTGGCGAGTTCTTTTTATCTTATATTTGATACCAGAAATCGGCCAACTATGGTTGTTGTTAGGAGTAACATGTTCTTTAAAATGTTGAATACGAATATCAACCATGTTCATTTCTGAATTGAACAAAAATAATCGAAGGATTTTATGTCAGCTTTTTCTCGATTTATCCATTTCGTGAAGTAAGCAAAGAGTGAATCTTTGATGATGTTATCAAACTCATTCCAATTGGTAATTGACTGGGGATGACATTTAAGGGATTACTGAGGAATGATTTCAACTGTCGGTCATGGACAATATTAAGGTCTCCTGTAATAACATGGGAGCTAGGGTCATCAATGTATTTGGAATTACTGTAATTTCATGACGTATATGTATTGTTTATTAAAATCTTAACGCTATTTTCACAGACAGAGCTTGCCCTACTGGAATGTCTAGATGTTCCGCAAATGACCCGAATTGCATATATGATAGTTGGTTCTGCAACAACCAACCAGAATGCGAAAACAGAGAGGATGAAAGTCCGAATAGTTGCTTTAATCGTAAGAAGATATTTAACTAAACACATTGCACATACGGATGTTAACTTGAGTATTTTTAATTTACGCCCTGTATAGCATGCCTTTACTCGAAATTTGTAACTTTTTATGTCCAAAAAGAGACAGATTTATCATATCTCGACCTCATTTCCTCACTGAGTTCGTTAGGGTCACATTGGAACGATAACAGTTGAAATTGAACATTTCGTATTTGCTCAGATGTGCGTCAAATATAACATGTATAAGTCGATGTTTCTTTTCAATTTTTTTTCTACAAAAAATGTAATGCATGATATGTAAAGTTCCTCAAATATATTAAAAATGCAGTATAAGGGTTAGACTTCCTCCTTTTTGAATTAACTTTGGAGTTTGATTTTTTTGTTTAGACTTTTTCAACCCATCGTGATCTTTGGAAAATGTCTGTTCAACGTAAGAAATATGACAGTTGGTTTAAGTTGGTTGATACAAACTAATGTTTGATTTATATCAGATTTGACGATTTCTCCCTCTTGAAATTACATGAAAGTTCTATATTATTATTCATACTTGATTTAAAAAGATGTTTTCAAAATGTTTATTATTAACAATAAATATCAGCTGTTTTTAGCCGTCATCAATACTGATAATTTTTAATTGGTAGCTTGTTCTTGACTGATTTACTCACAACTATCAATTTGTGTATAGGACCAAAAAAAGTTTTCATACCATTACTTTAAAAATGCTACGTGATGCAGTGTCCATAAAAGATAGGAAACATTGTTGCATGTAATATGTATCTTATGTCCATTCGTGAATTTGGTGTCGATCGTAGATTTTTTTATACTTTCAAATTTCGTTTCTATAAAATGTTTGAAAGTATTACATTATATTGATAAGACATTGCAAGAGCTTCTTGTTAATTTATCTTTTCAGGTCCAAAAGGATCCATTAAATTGCCGTGGATGACATAGCTAGCAGTCTGATTGGACTTTTAGAAAAAAGTATCTCGCTTTAGTACTACGACAACAGATACAAAAATCAATTATGTGAAACATACTACATGACTTTATTTTATCTTTGAATAGTGGTGATAGCAATTTGGTTTGTACGAATCTTGCCTTGAGATGTAATCATCATATAATAAACAAAATATGGAATTGTTCAATTTCGACCCGGTTCGTTTGTATTGTTAGTCTTGTCATTGGCGTATTCAGTCACTGCTAATATGCCTTCATGACGATACAAAAACCAGCTGAAATTTATCGCAACGTTTTTATTATTTTTTTTTCGAGAAAAAACACACAAGGTACAAACTAATCTACATGCAATATACAGAAGTGAATAAGAATACAAAGTTTATGTAAAGGAAATAAAGATTTCTTTCGGTGTCAAGATTTTTCTTTGAAGTTGTATATTTTCGTTTTGCAGTTAACCAAACTGAAGTTTATGCACAATCATGACCAATGTTGCTTCCTTTGCAAGAGGTCGAAACAAAAATAATCTGGGTACGCGAACATGAACTATGCTTATCCAATCAAACTTCAACTTTATTATGATACGAATGGTGTTGTTTATCGCAAGCGAAAATGCACTGATTTTTTAATCATTTGCATGCAGGTGAATAGAACGGTTTTATGACTAATACTAATCGAACATTTCCAAGTTCACAAATATTCCGTCACGGTCGGTAAATTCATATTTGGAGAAGGGATGATTTCAACTTATCAACATGTTTATTTGATCAGTAACACTCTATAACGGAAATGATAGCATCACGACTTATTAGCGTAATGTAAAGTATACGTCATTTTGGCAGGATCATAAAACGATGAAACGTTGTTTATTGATATATAATGAACTCGTTGAACTGCATCTAGACATTAACAAACAGATGTATGAATCGTGTACTCCACCAGAGATACAACCAATCAAATATAAAAAAAGCCTGTAAATATATAAAATGTGATAGAATTTCAACGACGAAAAAATAAACATGGTTGACCTTTAATTTCGATTCTCGAAAATCCATACACAATATTTTGTTTAGAATATATATGTCATAGAATTGAATATTTCCGCTTTAAGAATATAAAAAACATCAAGTGGCTTCGGATTCGGTTATTTGTTTTTTCGTTTTAGAAATGTGTATTAAAATGTTAGTCTTCAAGAAAGGACAAATAAGAAAAATGTTGTGATGGTGTCATACTGCAGCATCATAGATTGTCATGTTTTACATGCATCACTCATTTTGAAACTAGTTAGACAGCACACACGAAAACAGTCACTGCATGTGCCTTTTTTAATCTGTAAAACTATAAATAAAATATGATATTTAAACAACACTATCAGTTCCGTTGGATGGAATTTCAAAAAATCCTAATTAAAAGTTAAATGTGTATTATTTTGTCGCTTGTGTTGTATATTTATGTTCTGAGGGAGAGGCAAAGGATACCAACGATAAATTAAACTTCGAAAGTAAAAAAAAAGAATGACAACGAAATGACTAAGAAAGAAAACAAGACATAGAAAATCAAAGACTGAGCAACACGAAAACCACCAAAAAAACAGGGGATGATCTCAAGTGCTCCGAAAGTGTAAGTTGATCCGGCTCCACATGTGGCTCCCGTTGTGTTGGCTATGTTATTATAAACCCGGTGATAAGTACAGTCCCTGTAACGTAAAAGTTAACACTTTTTTCATTCGGGAATCGTACGTACAGCGTTCGGGAATCGTTCGTATAGCGTTCGGCCATCGTTCGTACATCATTCGTATAGCGTTCGTATAACGTTCGGTCAGCGTACGTTCATCGTTCGTTCATCGTATGGTAAATGCCATCGTTTAGGGTTTTGTATATCGTGTGGTTCATGGTATCGTAAAGCGTTTTATTTGTCGTATGTAACATGGTATGGTTTAGCGTTTAACGTTTCGTTTATCGTATGATTTAGCGTTTCGTTTATCGTATGGTTTAGCGTTTCATCTATCGTATGGTACATCGTTTTTCGGGTTTTATTTCAGAAAATTATTTCGTTTATTATTTTGAGTTGAAATAATTTTATATAAAAAAAAAATGCGAGATAAAAAAAACAAGATTGGATTGATTAATAGTTGGTTGCGTACTTTTTTATTTAATACTAATTGCGTAATTAATAACATTTCAAATTTGATCTTATAAAATGTTAAAAAAAAAACTAACCTAAACAAGACCCTTAACTAGTTCAATGGAACGTGAATTATCTTTATAGCTTTATAGCTTTATAGCTTGCTGTTCGGTGTGAGCAAAGGCTCCGTGTTGAAGGCCGTACCTCGACCTATAATGGTTTACTTTTATAAATTGTTATTTGGATGGAAAGTTGTCTCATAGTCATATCTTCCTATATCTATCTATTTTACATAAAACTTATGTAGTCGTAAAAAATAGTATTGGTTGTAACGTTTTATTTTGATTGAGAAACGTTTAGCAATGCAATAAACTTACTTTAAATGTATTATAACTTAATGTAGATTTCGAACTGTATACCATTTCTAACCGATAGAAAAAATGTTTGCAACTAATATCATTACACTATGGAATAGCCTGCTGTATAACACGAAGGGGAAACATTTCCTTCCATCACATTTTGACAGTAGTACATTTGTTGTAAAATGAGACAAATACGGGAAATATATTAGTCTCTCTCTCTCCTCCTCCTCCACCAAATATTTCTTTAATCCAAATATTTCTTTGACACAATAAACTATGTATAACTTTCTATAAATGAGGCTTTATATGAGATACACGTACTATATCTAAATGTATTAAAAAAAGACAAGTTATCAATGGTATTTGTTCCCCTCAATGTCAGAGTCTAATTTAAATCGAAGATTGCCAGGGATATATACCAAAAATCGTGAAGACTTCTTTTAAACCCAGCGTCGCTTGCAATTGCTGCTGTTGGTGTTAAAACTGTTATTTTGACTGTACAAAGTGTTTAAGTCCATGTATGAGTAAAATACAGAATGAAAAAAATAACTCTACCTTTTTTTCATACATTTATTTATTTTAGAGGTAAGCTTCCGTCCAAGTTTCATAAGTTTTAACGCAAATCATTTAGATCGAATCACCTTAAATAACCAATCAATTGTATATTAAAAGTTATTGATTTGTTCTTTACATACGAATCAATGAAATATTTGTCACTGGACGTTATGCATGCAATCAATGATCAATTACAAATCTACAGTATTTATAAACATACTGCAAATGTATATATGAAAGAGACTAAATAATATAAATATTAATTCTTTAACACATATTTGAAGGATCGAAACAATCAGTTCTACAACTGGTTGTTATATAAAGACTTAATGCAAATTTTACAAATATTACATACCTCTGTGAACTTTCATATTGGCGCACCAAACTATTTCCTTTTATCGTCCATAGCTCATTTTCCGATTCACTTAAGGTTTTTACCGATTTTCTTAATTGTTTATTACATTCTGAAATTAAAATCCTACACAAATTGCCAAAACTTTTATCCTCAGTCTAGACAGCGTAAAAGATGAATGCACCTTTGTACAAACGGTGTTTTGAAGACCGATATCCATTTGCGCTGAAAAAAAAATAATTTGCCACAACTTAATTACGCTAATTATTCTTTTGCAGCATTCATTTGCGCCAAAAAATGTAAAATGTAGAAATACCGCAAAGGACCGATTAGTGCACGAAGAACAAAGTTTTGCACTTATTTTGAAATCAATGATAGTATTGACTCAAAGAACAAGGCATATAGAAGGAGACTTTCTAAAAGGACATAATTTCAAATTTGAAAATCATATCTTTAGTAATTATAAATTGATTTAATGTTTTATCGACACGCGCCACCCTCCGTTGATTGTCACTTGTGTAATCGATAGAAATTCGTGTTTGTTCATCCTTGACCCGTTTTGGATCCACTTGTATACTGATTAAACATATTTATCGTATTTCAATTTTCTCTGATCTTTTTCGTTTGTTTATTACTGCTGTATTTATTTTGTTTTTCTGTCATTTATATTTCTTAATTCTATGTAATAGTGTATTTTCTACTATTTTTTTTAATTTGTGTTCCTTTTCTTTTGCTTGTTTGTTAAGCTTACTCTTTAATAGTTCTCTAGTATTTTTTTCTAAGAATATTTTAGAATGTATATATATATTCTTATTTACCAGCACATAAGATACACATGTTCAAAGTATAACAGTTTATTACATTTTTGTCGAGCCTGCGACTTTTGTCGCAAAAGTGAGACATAGCGATCCTACATTCCGTCATCGGCAAATATTCACTGTAAGATTAAAGTTTTTGATATTTTAATTACTTTCTTAAACTATCCTGGATTTCTACCAAACTTGGACAGAAGCTTGTTTATGATCATAAAATAGTATCCAGGAGGAAATTTTGTAAAAAAAAATCATGTTTATCCGTATTTTACTTATAAATGGGCTTAGTTTTTTCTGTCATTTAACATTACATTCACTCTGTCACGGCGTTTAAGTTTTAAAAATTTTAATTACTTTCTTGAAATATCCCGGATTTCTACCAAACTTGGACAGAAGCTTAGAATTCTATTTATCCGTACTTTATTTATAAATAGACTTAACATTACATACACCCTGTGATTAAAGTTTTTAAAATTTTAAAAACTTTCTTAAACTATCCTGGATTTGTACCAGTGACACGCGCTGATTAAAAAGTCAATAAGTTTACAAATACGTACCTATGTGCATTTAATAAAGCAACACTTGAACTTATTAATATCATTTTTTTTAGTGGAATTTTATTTTTATTTATATTTAATGTTACCCGATAAAATTCACTTGAATGAGTATTTCTACTGTAAATATCACACGTACTATCTACAATATACGGAAATGACACGGCTGCGTATTGTAAAGTTACTGAAGGAAGATTAATGTCAAATTCATATCCCCGGGCGACGAAATTACCGGTTTGTCAAAAAATATAGAGAAAATGGAGGAATATAATGCGCGCTGTTAAATCATGCTTTGCAAGGATATTTACCAGATGACTTCTTTTTTGGTCGTCAATTACTTAATTTTTTCTAATGGACTTCTTCATAAATCAAAAACACG